AACATATTCTCCGTCATGTCATTATTGGGGCATTCCTTCACCATCGTTCTATATCTCTCCCAAATCTCATGCAAAGGTTCCGTGGGCTCTTGCTTGAAGGCCAATATCTCATCTCGAAGTGCCGCCATGTGCCCGGGTGAGAAAAATTTAGCAATAAACTTATCCGCCAACTCATCCCAAGTTGTGATGGAATGGTTGGGAAGTCTCTCAAGCCAATCTAATGCTTTCCCCCGAAGTGAGAATGGGAAAAGCCTCAACCTAAGAGCATCCTCGGACACATTCGTCTGCTTGCTCCCCCAACATGTATCCACGAACCCCTTGAGATGTTTGTAGGCATTTTGATCCGCAGCGCCCGTGAAATACCCACGCTGCTCAAGTAAGGTCAACATCACATTGGTTATCTGAAAATTGCCCGCTCGGATTCTGGGTGGGACAATAGCACTTGCATAGCCTTGGTTCGGGAGCACTCGAGGAACCGCTCTTGGAGGTGGTGGAGGAGGGTCTGGAACATTGTCATTTGCATTGGCCTGGCGGCCTCTACGTTGTCCTTAAGGTACAAGAGGCACCTCTTCTTCTCCGATGTCATCTACCTCCTCCCCCACATTCACATTTCCAAGAGGGTCATTAGCATTTAAAGCCATTTTGGTACCTGAAGTATTGACACACACAAATTAGTAACAAGAAGGAAAGAAGAACAAAACACAAATCTAACTAAATAGATAGCCAAGACCGTTAGCTCCCCGGCAACGGCGCCAAAAAGTGATCGCTGCCAACTCCGCACTACTAAAAAGTAGCAAGAGAGGGTCGCAATAGCTTTTACCCGATTTTGGGTCGGGATCGATATTCACAGAGAGCTAGAATTGGAATCGAGTATCTATCTAGTTTAGGAATGCGTATGTGTTCTTAATTACACTTCTCAACATTTTTGGGATTTTCGTTATAATTCTACTTTTATCAAATTACAAATTGTAATTTAGCTAAGAGTTAAAATGCTACAAGTTGTTCAGATAGGTTTAAAAAGGCACTAGGGTAGTGACTACCGCCTAGGTGGTCAATTGACGGGTACTTGAACTAAGGCACGTTTGACATTTTTGGGGAGTATGTTATAACCGTTGCACGACTTTACCCACTCTACACCTCTCGGTGGATCGAGTGATTTTGCCCGAGTTGACTTTCTCAAGACCAATTGGGTATGCAAACTTGCACAAGCAACTAGGGTTCAATTCGGGTATTACTCTCTCGAGGTTTAACCCTTAAAAATGGGGCTATCAATCTCTTGAGTACGCCCCAATTTTGGACGATTTTCGGAGACTTAGGCTCTCTTTCTCAAGAAGAGCTCAAGTCAACTCAACACAAACTAGTGTTTGCAACCACTAATTCAGAAATTAACCGTGAAATTGGCCCAAATAACAAACACCCATAGTCAAATTAGCCCTAAAATACAAGACCCATCAACTACCCACACTAGGGTTGAGCCACAACCCTAGCTTATGGGTCTAGCTACTCATAATTAAAGAAGAAAAGCAAGAAATAGAAGAGGATAAACACATATTAATTAATTGCTATGCTAAATACAAAGATTCAATGATGAAAAGAAAGTAAAAATGCCCAAAATGGCTAAGAAAAGTCGACCCACGAGCGCAACTGATGTATTACAATATCTGATACCCTAAAAATGGAAAAAGAATCTATTTATATTAAGCTGAAAAATGTGGACAAAATTGCCCCTGCGGGGTTAGTGCGGACCGCACAAAATGGACCGCGGTCCGCACTGGGCTCTTGACTTCAAAATTCTTGCTCTCTGAACTTGGGCTCCGTGGACCGCACAGAATGGACTGCGGCCGCGGAGGCTTCTAGTGCGGTCCGCGCCGAATGGACTGCGGACCGCACAGGCTTCAAAACTCCATTCTTCATCTTCTCTGAACCTTGACTCTACGGACCGCACATAATGGTAGTGCGGCCGCATTGCCTTCAGTGCGGACCGCACAAAACCTAGTGCGGCCGCACTGCCTTATTGCTTGAAATAACAGCTCTCTGAATCTCCCAATGCGGACCGCACAAAGTGTAGTGCGGCCCCACTGGGCTTGCTTTGCTTGAGCTTGCCTTGCCTTTGTCACTTGTGCAAGTTTCACTCCTTTTAAGCCGATCTTTGACATTTGTCACTTTGTTGATCAAACCTGCAATCAAGCACAACTTGTGAGCCTTTTGGGACTATTTTGTATGAATATTTGATCAAAGCATAAGCAAGAAGGAGTATAAAATGCGTCAAAATCTCTAGTTATCACTCTTCGACCTGCCAACAAGAAATTCGATCAAACAAAGATAAGATAAAGGAAAGGATGGAGAAAAGAATACAGCAACTAAGGCCGAAATAAGCCGACTTACTAGTGGTAGGTTTGCGCCCAAACCTCTCATGAGAAGGCGCCCATTCGCGGATCCCCATCGTATGGGGCAGAATCGCGCTCACCCATTCGTGAATGTTGGCAACTTGCAGAGGAGGCACCCTCTCGGCTTTGAAAACATAAAACACTATGGTCACTAAAGAAGACGACCAACAGCTATGTTCAAAAAAATGTGTAATATAATAAAGTAAAGGGAGACTTACAGGCGAAATTCCACGCCTCAGGAAACCCCGCAGGATTCGACACCACGTGCTCTATTCGGACGTAGAAGAAATTCTCCCAAAAGCGGCGGTTGGTTTTGTCGTCCATCTTCACCACCAAACCCTTGGTTCTTCGGTGGCGTAGGTGAATCATCGTGCCCCTGCGAAAATGATGGGCGAAGATATGAAGCATGTGTTGTAGAGAAACTCCCCTATCTGCTAGCTCCGCGTACTTGCTAAGCATAAGGAAGAGCTTGTATACGTACGGAGAGAGTTGGGCCGGACACACCTCGTAGAAGAGGCAGAAGTCCACCGCCAACAGGGGAAGCGGAAGCATGTATCCAATGACAAATGGATATCCGTAGGACGCAGTAGCCCGGGCAGTGTATATGCACTATGTCCCGACCCGCAAGAACTAGTTCAATATGATCGGGAATCCCCCACTTGGCTTTGAATGCCGTGAGCGTCGTAGCATCCATAGTCGAGAAAACAGGTTCCGGCTCATCCCCACCAAGGCTGTTGAAATCAGTCCTCGCCTTCCCTGGACGGGGAACCAACTCATCTACCGTCAAATACTCTCTTCCTCCACCGGACCCACTCCCTCTTGGATTAGGGGTACATCATTTTCCGGCACCGGAGCGCCAATGGCTCTATCAGGGTTAGAAGATGCACTAGCCATCTTTTCTTTGATTGAGAGAAACAGGAATGATAAGGGAAAAAGGTAACGGTCACAAGAATTTCTAACAGAAACAGAAATATGAGAAACTGAAGAAGAAGAAAAGTTGCAAAAATCTCTCTTGAGCGATTAAGAAGCGTGACCTTCAAATGGAAGAGTCTCCCCTATTTGTAGGAATATAAATGCCCCGAGCGAGAAAACCAAACGCCGCTACTTAGACAACGGAAAGGGCGTGCGCCATAATGACGCATGAGAAGTATTAATGACATTTTGAACTGACGTGACGATCTAACGAAGCTCTCGAAACGTCACGTAGCTACCTCACCACGAGGTGCTCGCCTCTCACATAAAGTGCTCAGATTTCTCACAATTTTTGAATCGACAGAGTCCGCCCATCGAGCTCGCCAAGAGGCGACCCAACAGGCGGAGGGACTAACTGTACGGGTTAAAATCTGACCAGACAAGAACCTGCGTGGGAAGGGACGGCTAAAAGTTACTTGGGCCGAAGTCGTATCCGTACAACGCTATAACGACATGCACCTCGGCCGTGGCCGAGGTCACGTATTCAGAACGCTTGAGCGCCGAATTGGATGTTACGGCATTTCGAAGGGTCAACCCGTAATATAGTCAAACGACTTAAGTACTATGGTTAATGACCGCTGGGTAAAGGAGAAGACCTAGCACTACTAGAAAAATGCAAATTTCCTAGGGAATTTTCCCACAGATATATTATCAGTGGCAATTCCCACTGAAATTTCAAAAACTCCAGTGGGAAATGGAAAATATTTCTTTTACCTTTTCTTTAAAAACGTTCCCACAGACTATAGGTGGGAACTAATTGGCGCAAAAAAGCACGTAATTTGTTTCCCACTGAATCAGTAGGAATGTCATTAAAAATAAAATTATTAAAATCTACCAAGTAAAACGGTGGGAATCCAAGATAAAAAGTTATTTTAATATTCCCACTGATGCAGTGGGAAGCTCAAAATTTCGAATTCTTATTGTTGGTCCAAAAACCCGCGACCTTTAAAATTATTTCACAAAAAAAATGCGAGCTTAAAATTTATTTCACCAAAAATAATTGAATTTATAAAGACAATTCCCACAAATTTACAGTGGGAAAGCATTTTCTATTACATTAGGTATACCCTTTGTTTCCTTCTCTCTTTCACCGGTCTCATTATTCTCTTTCTCTCTCATTTCTCTTCGCACATTTTCCCCCATTTTACAAAATTACTCTTTTCAATTGAGCAGTGTCGTCTTGGGCAGATTGTCGTCGTCTTGTTGCTCGCTAGTGTCTTGCCGTCGTCTTGGGCAGATTCAAAAGACAGCTTCCGTTCTGAACCTTTGACCTCACTCGTCGTGGACAACTCCACCAGGTACAATATAGGGTTTATTTTCCTCAATTTCTGCTCTTGTGCTCTTATTGAACAACTGTTTTAAGCTTTCTCTCACCCCCACCCCCCTTCTTTCACCCTTTTATGATTTTACCCTAAATGCCTAAAAATTTAGGGTTCTTCCATGAAAATATACTTTTTTGTGTGTGTGTTTGTGTGTGTAGTTGGGGTGTGACAATACATTTGTGTAGTTGTTGTAAAGATAATCGAAGAAATCAAAGTGTGAATGAATTTTACTGCAAATATTTATGGTTGCTATTAAGGCCGAGCAGAATAGAGAATGATGAAATCAGAACTGAAGAAAATTGATAGAAAACAGTAACCCATGACGAGATATTGTCAATTATTAGTTGCTTTTCCTGAGATGCCAGGTTGGATTACTGAGGATATATGGACTAAACTAACTGAGTATTGGGCCTCTGAGGAATTTAAAAAGAAAAGTGAATTGGCAAAGGCAGCCCGTTTGTCCGACAAAGGTGGCTCCATTCACACGGGAGGTTCAATAAGTATTGGGGCTCATCGAAGAAGATTGGTATGTGTTTATTATACTAGTTTAGTCCTGTGTTTATACAATTAAATTACTTATAAGGTAATTACTATAAGTAAATCTATGAAACAAACACTAATTGGTAGTTGGTCATCTAAAATGAAACAAGAACTTCATTACATGCATAACATATGAACGAAAGAAATAAAAGCTTCACTTGGATATGATCAAACTACACTTAATTTATTAGGATTTTTCAAAGATCTTGGTGCTAATGTTGGAGTATTTTCTGGTTTAATTGCTGAAGTAACTCCAACATGGTTTGTGTTACTAGTTGGTGCAGCAATGAATTTCACAGGCTATTTCATGATATGGCTTTCTGTTGTTGGAAAAATACCAAAACCAAAAGTTTGGCATATGTTTATATACATGTCTTGGAGCTAATTTGCAAAATATAAGCCTCACTCGTAACAGAAGTTCCTCTATCTGCTTGTCATTATGGAATATGAATGAGTTCTTCATGATGAATATTGCAAATTTAGAGAATAAGTGGTGTTTCTGTTATATATTTTTATCTTATTATGCTGAAGTTTTATTTTTAATATGGAGTTGGAATTAACCAGTGATTTGCCAGACGTAACAGCTCGAGTTCTTTCTATTTCTCTTTCTTATCTATGTATAAACATGTGTTTCATTGGGTTATTTGATTCAATGATCAGAATTTGATAAATATAGAGATAGAGGTTGAGTTCTGCTCCTATTGTTAATTAGGCTCTGCCTAGGATTGTGTACAGGAGCATACAGACGGATAGACATCTACTTGAGGAAGAGAGGTAATGGAACAGGTGATTAGTAAAATATTTGCATTAATAAAAGGACAGATGTACTGAATTTCCCCGAGAGTAGAGGAAATATGATTGGTTTACTGAAAGGATTTACTGGATTAAGTGGTGCTATTATGACTCAATTATACTTAGCTGTATATGGAAATGATTCTAAATCACTTATTTTACTCATTGCTTGGCTTCCAGCTGCAGTATCAGTAATATGTGTGTATACTATTCGCGAAATGAGAGTAGTTAAACAGCTGAATCAGCTGAGAGTTTTCTACTATTGTTTTGCTATAGCAATTGTATTAGCATTGTTTCTTATGGTCATGACATTGGTTGAGAAAGCAGTTGCATTTTCACATGCTGCTTATGTTGGAACTGCTACTGTGGCTTGTGCTTTGTTATTTCTTCCTCTTTTGGTTTTCATTAGGGAAGAGTTAGATGTCTTTCGTCGAAAGAACTTGCCTTTTGGTTTGCCTAGAGAAAGAAGATAATTCTACAACATGGACATAACACTTCAATTTTGCTTTTTTCATGTTTTATTTAACAGAAAAAGTCTTTAAAAAGACCAGCTACTCAAGATGAGGTATTTGAGCATACACATATAAAGAAGCTCAAGGATGGAACAAAGATAACTTGGATCGAGCCACGAGCCGAGACAACCTATGTAAGATTTCAAGTTACTTTTTATACTTTTCATTAATTAAATTTATTCATATAATAGTTGTAACTTTTTTGCAGAATACTTTCAAACAATCCTTGGAGGAGTTCATTCAAAGCCAACCAACTGATGATCAAGGAAAGCCAATCCAACCATCCCAGGAGAATTATATGGACTTGTGGATTAAGGGGGCTGGTGGCATACATAAGGGAAGAGTTTACGGCCTTGGATCAGAGTTTAGTTCTAGTCGTCGGTCTTTTGGATCTGGTGGCTCTTCTTCCTCAAGGTCCTCGATTAATCAGGATGAGTTTGAGCTATTGAATAGAAGAATAGCAGAGATCACTGAGTTGTATGCACAGGAAAGGGCTGCACGGGAGGAGGAGGCAAAGCGAAGGGAGGAAGAAGATAGGCAGAGGGAGGAAGAAATGAGGCGAAAGGATGCTGCATTTACTCGTGTCAGTGGTGACGTTGAAAGCCTCAAGGCCCAGCTAAACTACCTCTTAGCATCTGGTGGATTTCCTCTACCACGTTCTCCATCACGCTCTAACAAGACTAAGGAGTAGTTTCTTTTATTAATATGATTTTGGGTGGAACTATGATGTTGGATATTATGTATCAATTGGATAAGATTGAATGCTGAATTTCTTATTTGAATGTTTACCTGCATTATTGGTTTATAGTATTTTCAGTTTTGGTTGGTTGTTAATGTCACGACCCAAACCGGATGGGCCGCGACGAGCACCCGGTGCCTTGCTCAATCGAATACCAACATAACATATCTTTCTTATCATACTATCATGGTAAATGAGCTAGAGAACTCATCATGAGATAACAGGAATGAAACATAGGGGAATACTCAACATATGACGACCCACCATGATATGTAAACTTATACATGTGACATACGGGCCTATAAGGCCGACATGACCACTTGTAAACTCAAAACATAAGCCGAAAAGGCCATACAAGTATCCATACACCTGACATCTGTCTATAAGACTCAAAGAGTACCTAATATCATAAAGGTCGGGACAGGGCCCCGCCATACCAATCAATACATATCCAAAGCATACTGACCAAATAGGCAACTCTGAAGCAAGTGGAGTGCACCAACAGCTTCCGCTGAACTGATAGCCTACTTGGAGGAATGTCAACCTGTCTATCGGGACCTGCGGGCATGAAACGCAGCGTCCCCATGCAAAAGGGACGTCAGTACGAATAAAGTACCGAGTATGTAAGGCACGAAAACATAAATAAGAACAACAATGTAAAGAGAGATAGAGGAGATACAACCTGTAACATCTGAGTGCCTCTGGGGGCTACTGACATGAAACGCATAATACATATATATACATAAACTTTTTAAAAAAACATACGCCTCTGTGGGCATCATCATCATCATATCGTACCCGGCCTCAAAGAGGACTCGGTAAAAATGTACCCGGCCATCATAAGGCTCGGTAGAATCGTACCCGTCACGTGGAGTTTGGTAAACCCAACTGATCAGTGGTTGCATAATAGGTGCCATACCCGGCCGACTATAGCGCGGCTCGGTAGAGTAAAGTAGATACATATATAATGCATGCTGGACTCATGGAGTCACGTTCTAAACCTTTTGGAGTGACATAAGGCCATTGCACCTTCGATTAACATTATGGACATCATACCATCAATATGAACTTCACTTGGACTCAAGGATCATATATACTTTCTTGGAATAACTTTGTAAGGAAAGAATAACATGGACAACCTTAGTTGCTAGGAGTAGATTCATTATGAAATAGCGTATCGTTTATGTTCGTTTCACTTTAGATCATGCCAAAAGAATGAAGGAAGAGCCTTAACATACCTTGTATATTCTTCCCAACCTCAAGCTATGCAATTTCACGGCTCCTTAGTCTACAATAAGAGAAATGACACTCTCGTTATCATTTAAGCATCGTAACTATTATGTATCGACCACAATCTATTTTACAATGAAATGGACAGCACCTCCCCTATATATATGACTTCACACTAGTCAAAACAATCACAAACAGCCCAACATACCCCTATCACTTCATACACAACACGACAACCATAATAGTGTCAAACAATCCGAAAATGTTACGATGAACGACCAACAAACAACCTTGCCATTATGTGGTGTTCTCCACACCCTTCCTCCTCTCAACTCCATAAAAACAGTAGTAAAAGAGACAACCCAATACCAACACGAAACAGCCCAAAAACAGTCCCACAAGTTCATCAACTCAAACATAATTTTTCGGTTTACTTAAACACGTTTCGACTTGTCTTTTCTTTCAAATTGAGAAATACAACCAAAAGTACATCATTACACCTCTTATACAATAAACCAGCCATGAATTTAACTTAAAAATAAGTTCACAACCAGCCAACCATTGCACAAGATCAAACAACATACCATTCTTCCGAAACTAGCTAGGTCTATTCTTTACGATCGAGTTACAACTCGCAAACGCATAGATAATGGAAGGAGAAGCATAAACTTACCTTGTACTGAGTATCACCCACGAAAACTGGTCCTTTTTCATCAAAAATAAGTTCCTCAACACGGATACAAGAAGGAGAAAGAGAAACTAGCATGCTGTCCGGACTTTTCAGCACTAGAATCGCGTCGTAACACCCGGAATACCCTAGGGTTTGTGTGGGATTTTGGGGGAGGAGTTGCAGGGGTTCAATTAGGTTTTCTTGGTCTGAAATACAGGTGAAATAACTCAGTTTTTATTCCCTTAAAAGACCCCTCTTGGCCGACTTTGGGGCTTTTAATTAATTCCTCTCATTTTGGCAAGTAGGTGATGCACCTACTTGTCACCTACCAGTCTGCGCTGTCTCGCGAAAATCCAAATATCTCTCTACTCCAATATCGTATCGACGAACGGTTTAATGCGTTGGAAGCTAGACTCGTAGATCTTCAATTTGATATGTAGATCATCCATTTATTCCAAGTATATTGGGAGAAAAGTGCATCTACATTTGACCTAAATTTCAGCATATTATAAATGGAACTTGTGATGACCTTTTCCAACTTTTGTTCCACAACTCGCTTGACTTCAAAACATAACACCAACTATCATACGACTTAAATAACTCATAATATAATCTCCTTATAATGTTAATAACCCTAGTATCACCCCAAANATCTTTTGAGTCAAACAGTTCCTAATACATTTGTAATGCTTTGTATTCTTGTTTGTATTATATGAGATGTGGAATAAATGAAGTTTGTGTATAAGTTTTTGATATTCTTCTATTTTAAGGAAGTTTCTTTTTCACATAAAACCATCCAAGCAGAGTACGTATTAGTGTGGACATCTATTACTAATAACAAAAAACTCAAAACACTCAAGGAGGTCAAAAATTACTTTCAGTATAATTTTGAAGTTTCATAGACATAGCACTTTAATTTGAGAACAGTTAACTAATCTTTTTGAAGTTTAACAAAATAAACTTACTGCATTAAATGGTATTTAACAGGAAAAGTCTTTAAAAAGACCAGCTACTCAAGATGAGGTATTTGAGTATATACATATGAAGAAGCTAAAGGATGGAACAAAGACAACTTGGATCGAGCCACGAGCCGAGACAATTTATGTAAGATTTCAAGTTACTTTTTAATATTTCTCATTAATTAAATTTGTTCATATAATAGTTGTAACTTTTTTGCAGAATACTTTCAAACAATCCTTGGAGGAGTTCATTCAAAGCCAACCAACTGATGATCAAGGAAAGCCAATCCAACCATCCCAGTAGAATTATATGGACTTGTGGATTAAGGCAGCTGGTGGCGTACATAAGGGAAGAGTTTACGGCCTTGGATCGGAGTTTAGTTCTAGTCGTCGGTCTTTTGGATCTGGTGGCTCTTCTTCCTCAAGGTGCTTGATCAATCAGGATGAGTTTGAGCTATTGAATAGAAGAATAGCAGAGATCACTGAGTTGTATGCACAGGAAAGGGTTGCGAAGGAGGAGGCAAAGTGAAGGGAGGAAGAAGATAGGCGGAGGGAGAAAGAGGAGAAGCGGATGGAGGAAGAAATGAGGCGAAAAGATGCTACATTTGCACGTGTCACTGGTGACGTTGAAAGCCTCAAGGCCCAGCTAAATTCCCTCTTAGCATCTGGTGCATTTCCTCTACCACGTTATCCATCGCGCTCTAACAAGACTAAGGAGTAGTTTCTTTTATTAATTTGATTCTGGGTGGGACTATAATGGTGGATATTATGTATCAATTGGATAAGATTGAAAGCTAAATTTCTTATTTGAATGTTTAGTTGCATTATTGGTTTCTAGTATTTTCAGTTTTGGTTGGTTGTTAATTAATGAAATAGATCGGAAGATGCTGAATTTTGTGTGTGAATGTTTAATTCTATTAAGGTTGTTGGTTTTTTTTTTTTGGCAGGTGGTGCAGTATAAAAAGCAGCATTGTGCACAAAAATAATTTTAGATATCCCACGGAATTCCCACTGAGTCCGTGGGAAGGTTCGTCACTTTAGTTACAGAACTTGCATATTTCCCAGTGATATCGGTGGGAAATTTCATACTTTTTTCAGAATTTGCACTTATCCCACTGAAATCGATGGGAAAGTTCATACATTTATTTTCAAAATTTACATGTTTTCCACTGATATTGGTGGAAAAGTTCATACTTTATTTTCAGATCACCCATGCATTTTTCCCGTCACTTAATAATATTTACCACTGATTGTTTTTCACCAATTTCCCACTGATTTTGCCGTGGGAAAATCATGTGTTTCTAGTAGTGAAAAGAAAATCCAACAGGTTTTGGAAAAGGGTTTTAACCCTTAAAACTTGTGCTGTAAATATATAAGATTTTCCATCTAGAGGAAGGAGAACAAGGTGGCCGAAAATTTCAGCCTATTTTCCTACAAATTTCGCCCACACAAAATTGTAATTTTCGGATATTATTTGGGTAACACAGTAGAAGACCGTGGAACGTTCGCGAATCCTTATTATGCTGATGGTGGAGATTTCATTGAGTGCTGTGTAATCGGAGGCTCACATAATAGAGGAGCTTTGTTCACGCTTAAAGAGGTAACCGTGAAATCCCGTTTATACGAGTTGTCTAGATTACATGTGATTTTGATACTGAAATTACTTCCGCTCTTATAATAATCCATCAAATTCAACTCCCACCTATTGTGTAAAAAGACTTTTAAAGCCGATCGAGGATAATATAATTTTCAAAATTCTTGGTGTGGTCTCTAATTTGTTTTTCTAGCAGAATAAGTTTTTGAGACCTATTCCTACCAAGTTTTTGCATAGGAAAATGCCACGTTTCCCTAGAGTGAAGTGCATGATTTTTGTGGATATTCTTGAAAATAGATTTTAATTACATATACCCAATAATTGACCCTTTCTCTAGTTTTTGTATAATTATTTCTGACGTTTGCAAAAAGAACAATCCTGAATCTGATATTGTCCACAACTTTTAGAATTGGGTAGTTTGCGAGTTGCTACAAAATTGTCCAAAATTGGCTATAATATTGAAAGCTTATGATTTGTTATTTTCATGACTTTTTTGGAGAGGAAATTATTGAACCTTTTTCTTTCTTGGCTTAATTCATCAAATATCATTTGCATTCAAACCATAGAACAAAAGAGGATGGTAGAGTAATTATCTAAGTAAAGAAATAATTTGTAGTT